TATATTTTTATTCTTTTTTGTGTGTGTACCATCAAATTGGATCTGACTGGTACAGGAAGAGATTGCCCCTCCTTCTGCAGCAGAGCATCTGGTGGATTCAATCAGCATACTTCTCGGATTGCAGTGCAGCTTCTTGCCACTAGGCCACCAGAGCTCCCTTATAGTTTTCTTTGTATAGTGTCTTTTGTTTCTCTGGTTACATTTATTCCTAAGTGTTTAATCTTTTGGGTGGCTATTCTAATTAGTATTGCTTTCCTTATTTCCTTTTCAGAGTTCTTTTTGATTATGGAATGGAATATGACTGATCATGTATCCTGTCACTTTGCTCAATCTTTCAGATAATGGTCTTGCTGAGTCTTTGGGATTTTCTATTATTAAGATCATATCACCTAGAAATATAGTTTCACCTGAAGAGCGATTTTCTCTCACATTCTTCTAGGTTCTGTATGTAATAATCCCCTAATGAACATTCTAATTTAATCAAAGACTAGCATATAAAGCACATGAGTACGGGGATCTTTTCATGCTTACCTGTCAGTCCCTAGATCAGTATCTGGTATACACAGGAATTTGATCACTAAATGTTTATTGTGTGTGCTGTTGAGTCAAAGCCAACTCATAGCTAAGCTTCCAGCAGGTTTCCAGAGTCAGTAAATTGCATGGGTAGAGTGCCCACTCTTCTCCTGTGGAGCAGCTGATGGATTTGAACTGTGTGTCTTGCGACTACAGCACAGGTCCTTACCACTAGGTCACCAGATGTTGGTTGTTGTTAGGTGCTGCTGAGTCAAGTATAACCAATAGCAATTCTCTGAACAACAGATCTGAACTCTGTTCAATCCTGTGCCATCCTCACAATCTCTGATATAACTTGAGCCCATTACTGCAGTCACTGTGTAAATCCACAAGGTTGGGAGTCTTTCTCTCTTTTGCTGACCTTCTGTCTTTTCAAGCAGCATGTCCCTCTCAAGAAATAGCATCTCCTAGCTACTTGTTCAAAGTATGTGAGATGAAGCTTTGTTAATTTTTGCCTCCAAGGAGTACTCTAACTGCATCTTCTCCAAGACACATCTGTTTGTTTCTTTGGCAGACAAAGGGATGTTGAGTACTCTTCTCCAAAACTACACCTTAAAGGTATCAATTCTTCTTCTGTCATCCAACTCTCAGATGCATAGGAAATGACTGAAGACCATGGCCTGAATCAGTTGCATCTTAGTCCTCAAAATGACATCATTGCTCTTCAATAATTTGGAGAGGTTCCTGACTGCAGACTTTCCCACTGCAGTATGTTCCCTGATCTCCTGGTTGCTGGTACTAAGGGTACTGATTGTGGATCCAAGTAAGATGAAGTTATTGACAGTCTCAATTTTTCTCTATCATGATGTTTACTGATTGAGTGGAAATAATTTTTGTTTTCTTGACACTGAGATATAATCCCTACTGAAGGCTGTATTCTTTGATCTTCTGCTGAAAGCAATTCAAGTCCTCTTCACTTTCAGCAAGCAGAATTGTGTCATCTGTGTAATGCAGGTTATTGATGAGTCTTCCCTGGATTCTGAAGCCAAATTCTTCTTCAGAGAGTCCAGCTACATGAATAATTTGCTCAGCACACAGACTGAATAGGTATGGAGAAAGGATACAACTCTGATGCACACCTTGATTCAATCAAATGCCACTACACAATCAATACAGTACAAACTGATAATTTTCTGGTATTCCCTGCTTTCAGCCATAATCTGATAAAAGTAATAATATCTCTGGTACCACAACCTCTTTTAAACCCAGTCTGAACTTTTCGCATTTCTCTATGTACTGTTTTTTAATGATCTTCAGCATTATTTTACTTATCTTGGAGAGGGACATCATGCTTGGGAGGCTGGAGGGACAGCGCAGGAAGGGAAGGCCCTCTATGAGGTGGATTGATTCAGTGACTGGGGTAATCGGGATGGGTGTATCGGAGACAGTGCGACTGGCACAGGACAGAGCAGAGTTTAGGGCTATTGTACATAGGGTTGCTATGAGTCTCAAGTGACTCGATGGCACATAACAACATATTAATGATGCTGTTCTACAATTTATGCCTTCTGTAGTATTATCTTTCTTTGCAATGGGAATATAGATCTCTTCCAGTCAGTTGGCCAGGCAGTTGTCCTCCAGATTTTCTAGGATAGACTAGTGAGCACATCCAGGGCTATATCTGTTAGCTGAAATATGTCAATTGGTATTCCGATTTCCTGGGATGTTATTTTTTGCCAGTGCCTTCAGTGTAGCTCAAACTTCTTCCTTCATTACTACTGGCTCTTGATCATATGGTACTACCTGAAATATTTCAGTATCAGCCAATTCTTTTTGGTATATACAGTGATTCTGTGTATTCCTTCCATATTCTTTAGATGCTTCCTGGGTCATTCAAGATTTTGCCCATACCATCTCCACAAGAATCAAAATAATATCTTGAGTCTATTCCAAATAGACTCAAATGAATTTTTAAATTCCAAATGAATTTAAAAAGCATCTTAAGAATAGGTTTCAAGCACGGAACACCAATGATTAAAGACTGATAAGTTGTGCGATGACATCAAGGAAATGATCCAGGAAGAGAGTAAAAGGTCAACATAACGAAAGAGTAGAATGAAAAACAAAAACAGATGTCAGAAGAGGCGCTTAAAATTGCACTAGAGTGTTGAGAAGCCAAAACAAATGAAAGAGATGCTGAAGAAAAAGGGCTGAACAGAAGATTTCAAAAGGCAGCTGAAAAAGTCAAAACAAAGTAAGTACTATAACATACTGTGCCAAGAGTGGGAATTGGAGAATAAAAAGGGAAGAAATCTCTCAGCATTTCTCAAACTGAAAGGTCATCAGAGGCTCCCTATTAAAAGAACAAATTAATCCTCAGAAAAATCTACCCAGTTTGTTGCTCATACAAAATAAGAAAGATAGTTAATATTTCTATATCAGAAAAGGTACAATAACCTTTTCCATTGTTCCCCACCCCGATCTATCTTTATGATTATTGTGAATTGACTCAATTTCAATGGGTTTTTATGGATTACATTCTATCTGGAATGTAGCTGAGCTGTTATTAAAGCTAAAAAGAAGTCAGAGAAGGCTGACTACAAAGGAACAATATCTATAACAGGCGGATTATAGATTGAATCAGATCTGGCATCCACTTCCTAAACAACTTGCCTCAGGAAACTCTATAAACTTTGATAAATGTTGATAGTTGTAGAGGGGCTTCAGGCCTTTTGTTTATAGGGTCACTATGAGTCATGCTTGACCCGAAGGCAATCAACAACAACAACAACAACAACAATGACTTATTAGAACATAGCCACATGCACTCATTCATGTATCATCTATTGCTGCCTTTGCAATGTAAGGGCAGACTTGAGTTGTCATAACAGTAACTGTGTGGCCTACAGAGCTTAAACCATTGAGTATCTTGTTCTATCCAAAATAGGTTTCCCAACCACTGATTCAGAGTATTGAACAGGATTTTCAACTTGGAGAAAACCAATGAAACACAAAGTTGTCTTGCATACAGACATAACCTGTGCACTGGGAGAAAAACAGAGGCCAAATCAAGAGACATATGATCTGTACTGGAAGTGTTATTCCAGGAATAACTTAGAGAAAGTACACTCTATTCAGAAGACAAGATAAAGAAAGAATGATGAGAAAATAACCAAATAATGTCTCCTTTCTACATGGCCCAATTCCCTAAGTAAATGCTCCTCCTTGATTTTTGGTGAAAACATCTAACAGAAGACAAATCTAGGGTAATCAATACTGTGCTTAAGTGAGAAGAGGACAGCCTATATAAGTTAAATCATAACAAATCAGGCTGTAAATATAAAGCATGTCGAGAGCTAACGAGACTCTACTGTGTTTGAAACATAAAATGAACATAATTCCTCCTGGTTCATGGGGAACTTAGGGAGGTATAGGTTAAGGCTTGCGCATGCAAGGAACTGTCAGATGGGAGGAAAGAAAGACATATGAGCAGATGAGAGTTCAGATAACCATATTAAGAGGCTAAGCTTTAGAGAAAACTCAAAAGAACAGCTGAGGGCAGGCTGCAATTATTGCCAAATATAGGGAAGACTTTAGTGAAGGATCTATTTACAGCAATGGAGCTTGACAGAAGGGGCAGGTTTTGAGAGGTGATAAAGTAGTAGGAGGGCAACTTCACACATTACCTGGGCAGCAATGTCTTGCTGATGCTCTTGATAATAACTCACTCTGCTGAACTCAGGAATTTTCTCTGGGAGGCAGCAATGACACTTCTGCTTGCTCCAGGACCACCACACCCAACATCAGTCTGGCAACCTCTCTGATAGCTCTGAGGACTGGACACATTGCTCCCCTTGGCTGGACTTACCTCCTAGTGAATATTCTGACACCTAGGCAGGCTGTAAGGCTGTCTATCTTCCTGACATTCTGCTAACTCTAAAGCAGCCAATGCTTTGGGGTCCTGTTTTTGGTAATTTGAGTGAAAAATCTCAGCCTCTGTGAATAATTCTGGGTAATGGGCAGGCAATAGGCATGGCTTGAACAGTAAAAGCTCAAATGGAAAATATTCAATTGTTTGGAATCAAAACAACCTAGCTAGCTTTTCAACCCCTCTTGAAAGAAGTTCTCACCACAGGCAACACAGATCAACCTGCCCAGCGGTCCTTCAGCTAACATGTGACTGAGCTCTGGGACAGAAGATGTCATCTGTTTCTTTTGCATAACTCCAAATTATCCACATAGCATCCTTGAGGAGGCACTGACAATGACCCCATTTTATAAATACAGAATCAAGGCATAGAGAAGGCTATTTGTTCTGAATCATAAACTAAGTTTAGGGCCAGTCTCATAAAAAAGTACTGTATTTTATATATTGCTATGGCGAAGCAGGGAACTCTGGTGGCCTAGTGGTAAGAAGTTGCTCTAGCAACCTAAAGGTACATGGTTTGAATCTACCAGCTGCACTGTGGGGAAAAAGATGGGCAATCTCCTCCTGTGCAATTAATTGCCTCTAAAAATCTGCTGAAGGGTCAGCTATGGGTTGGTTCTGACATGACGATACAAAACAACACAGGAAAACAGTACTTGGAGCAGTGTTGAAAGACTTCCTAAGGCTGTGAGGTTTCATCTGTGGAAGGAGTTTGGCTGTGTGTTTTAGTTCTAGGGCAGAATAAGTCAGTAGGAAGCAGGAGAGGACCAAATCTCTTTATATTCCAACCAGCTGCCTTAACCATTTCACTTACACCTTCTCCATTGCCTGCTCATCTCTAATAGGCTGGAGTTCTCCACCTATTTAGTGTCTCTATACTGGGAAGTAGGAGTGGCATCCACTTCCAAAATGGCTCGCCTCCGGAATCTCTATGAACTTAGAGAAACGATGAAAGTTATACCAGTGTTCAGGTCTTTTGTTCACAGGGTCACTATGAGTCGTCAATGACTTGAGGGTACTTAACAACAACACTGGGACACTAGCCGAAACCAATGTTCTCTCCTCCCCACAGGCAACAAAAACAGAACTCTATTTCATTCTTAAAGACTTGAGAAGCAACATAAACTACAGATCCGAAGGAGAAGCTGAGCTGACAAAGAGTAGAGCTCTGGAAAGCCACAAGGAGAACAGCTCCAAGAATAGTAGCAACTGCACACTTACCTTCCAAAGAATGGATTCCTTGCTCCTTAGAGGTCTTGTAAACACTGCTGAAATCATCTCCAAGGTTTGGGTCAGCCCCAGCAGCAAGCAGAACCTGTACCACACTAGAAGAAATCAGAAAGACAGAAGTGTCAGAAGCAGTAAAGTTCCAACAAGCAGACTAAGATTCTGAAGCATGATTGTGGGTTGCAAATGCCTCCACTCATGTTTGTGGTATACTAGAAAGAACACAGATTCTGGGCATGTAACAGCCAAGGCTAAGAAAGCTGGCTTGGAAATTTACTAGCTGAGAGGTCTGTACAAGTTACTTAACTTCTCTAAAGCTCAATTTTCACAACTGCAAAACTGACTATTCAGCAATTACTTTTAAATAGCTTACTTGGTGCTAGAAGAGGGACATTCCTTTGAAAGAGACATGACACTTGGAAAGATCAATGAGAAAGGAAGACCATCAATAAGATGGACTGACATAGTGCAGCAACAGGCTCAGGCATGTCAGAGATGATGAGGATGGCACAGGATAAGTCAGGGCTCAGATCTGTTGCTCACAGGACTGCTGTGAATCGTGCTTGACTAGATGGCACCTAACAACAACAATAACACTTTGTGCTAGTCACTGTTCTAGTTGCTAGGATTTATGCCCTCATGGAGCTTACAGTCTCCTAAGAAGAATAACAAACACAAAATTAGAGCAAAGTATGTTGAAGGTTATCATGGGAAAGTATCAGGAAACATTTTCCCAAGAAAGTGGTATTTAAGATAAATTTAACACTTGAAGGTGAGGTTGCCAGCTCTAGGATGGTGAGGTAAGAGGAGCCAATACTTTAAAAAAAAAATATATTTTTTAAAAAATTAACTTTAATGAAAGTTTACAGAGACTTAGGGTTTCCATTCATTCATTTATTGTGGTACTTTTCTCCCTGTCTCCCCCCAAATTTGTTCATTTCTGTGAAAAGTTAAAGAAAAATTCTTTCATTGTTATATAATCCCTCCCCCAAAGTCCACTTTTACAAATCCTGGCAGTAAGAAAGCACTGCTGAATCTAAATAGAAAGATAAGTGAAGTACAGAGTGGGAGAAGCGGCAAGCCACTGAAAGGGCTAAAAAAAGAATTGTCACAATCAGGTATTTTCCTAATTGCAAAAGCCATACTTGCTTTTTTCTTTTCTTTCTCCCTCCCTCCCTCCTTCTCTCTCTCTCTTTCTCTCCCTCTCCCTCTCTCTCTCAGTGTACAGCGCCTGTCAATGCTCACAGCCCCTGGGAAAGGAGGCTGGGAAATGGTTTGAGGCTTCAGTTCATTCTGGCATGGATACACTATGGAAGACCCACAGAGATGAGCCTGCCATAAATGCAAAAACATGCTCTGTACTTGCTTTTAAAAATATTTAAACTACGTGTTACTGTTGTTATGTGCCATCAAGTCGCTTGTGACTCACAGTGACCCTATATTACAAAAGCTCTGAACTCTGCTCAATCCTGAGCCAATCTCACTGTCTCTGACACACCTGCCCCAGTTACTGCATCAATCCATTTCATCTGGGGTCTTCGCTCTCCCTCCATATTTCCAAGCATGATGTTCTTCTCCAAAGACTGGTCCAAACTGTCCATGTGCCAAAAGTATGTGAGATGAAGTCTGAAAATCCCTGCCTTCAAGAAACAGCCTGATTTCATCCTCTCCAGGACAGATTTGTTTGTTCTCTTGGCAGTCAACTCAAAGGTATCAATTGTTGTTCTATCATCCTTATTCATTGTCCAGCTCTCTGATGCATAGTAAGTAATTGTGAAGATGATGGCTTGGAATATCTCCTTACATTCACTTCCTTAATCTAAATTCCAAGAGTAACCACTATTAAGAGTTAACCACTATTAAGGGTTAGATGTGTTTCCTTCTAGACTTTAGTATTAGAAAAGTCACTCTAACAGTTGTGTGAGAACGGACTGGATGAGGTAGGGATTTGTACTGGATTTTTTCCAAGGTTAACCAGATGTTTTATAAAGCACTGTGCACTATGTCTGACCTAAGAAATGATCCATATGTTAGTGTCTTTTCTTTTTTACTTCTTTATGTAATGTTCCTGTGAATATTTTCTTTTTGTTCTGATAAAATAATAAGGTCATGTTTATGAAATGAAGAAAATATAAAGGAGAAGAAAGTACTTCAGTGTATATAACATTTTTTCAGTGCTTTAAATGTATACACATTTTTAAGAAAAGTAAGATCATACACAAATTCTCTTTCTACATACACACTTCACAGAGCATTAATTAAATATTAATCTACAACATTTTTGTTTCTTCTGACTTTCTTGTGATTTAGATTAAAGTTTACAGAACAATTTAATTTTCCATAGAACAATTTATAACCATTTTGCTTTGTAATTATAATTGGAGCTCCTAAATTTAGCTGCATTCATCTTATTTCCTCCTTGGGTTCCCTATTTCCATTCGTCCTTCCCTGCCCCTTCCAGCCTTCTTGGCTTTCCTCTGGGGCAAATGCTACCTTTTTTGTTTCATAAAATATATTGTTCCAAAGAGTCTCATAACGTTACTAGTCACTTTCTAGGTCTATGTACTATTCAGCTGAAAGATGAACCCTGGAGTTCAGTTTAGTTCTAGGTTTGATTGGTGTCCAAGGACTACAGTTTCGAGGTTTTCACCAGTCTCTATCACTACATCTGGTCTTTATTATGACTTTGAATTTAGTTCCACATTTTCCCTCTCACTCTTTCAGGACCTTCTATTGTGATCTCAATTAGAATGGCTGGTAGTGATAGTCAGGCACCATTTAATTCTTCTAGTCTCGAGACGGAGGAGAGGTTCATATGGCCCACTAGTCTGAAGGACTATTTCCTTGAGGCTTTGACAGTCATCACTTTTCTTTGCTCTGGACAGGGAGAGACCAATAGCGGCATCTTAATATGGCTATTTGCAATCTTTTCAGACCCCAATTGCTCATAAAAGTAAGATATATAGAAGAGTATTTGTGGACTAAGTTATGCCAATACAACACAACACTGTTTTTAATGATCACATTGTACTTCACAGTAAGACCATTTATTTTATTAATTTTAATGAACATTTACAGAAATTTTGGATTTCCATTAATTCATTGTTGCCTAAATTTTCTCCCTGCCTCCCTCCCCAGTTCGCTCCTCTCTCTAAAAAGTAAAAGAAAAATTCCTTCATTGGAATACATTTCCCACCCCCATCCCCACACCCCAGTACACTCCACTATGCAACCTTCACTCTGGACTCCCATCATAGCCATAATAACCAATCATATATTGCTTTTAAACTGTTCTCTCCCTCATCTGTTTCAATGCAGTATACATAATTTACCCATTTTTTTTCTCAGTTTCACCCCAACACTGATGTCAGTCCCATTTTACAACAGTGGCACTATGTAGTATTTGTCCTTTTGTGACTGAGATATTTCACTTAGCATAATGTCCTCCAGGGTCACCCAATTTGAATAATACTGCATGAATTCCTTGTCATCAATGCGGCATAGTATTCCATTGTGTGAATATACCACAGCTTCTCTATCCATTCATTTGTTGATGAGAACTGAGGTTGTTTCCACCTCTTTGCTATTGTGAACAAAGTTGCAGTAAACATGGGTGTGCATATATCTATCTGAGTGGCAGTTATGGTTTCTTTAGGGTATATTCCCAGTAGAGGAATTTCTGGGTCAAATGGTATTTCTGTTTGCAACTTTTTGAGAAAGCGCCATACAGCCTTCCATAGTGGTTGCATCATTTTACACTCCCATTAACAGTGAATAAGAGTTCCAGTTTCCCCTCAACCTCACCAGCATTTGTTGTCTGCTGCTCTGTTAAATTTTGCTATTCTGTAAGACCATTTTTATACTATATTTATTCAGTTGTCTATTATAACTAGACAATTTTCAAGATTTTAAACAACACAATATTCCTAGTTATTTTCTCTGGACAAATTACTAGAAGATGAAACTCCATGTTAAAATGTACAAACATTTCAAAGAGTTTTGATCAATATTATTATATTTCCTTTCAGAAAATTGCATCAATTTTTCTTTTCCCTAGCAAACTATGAAGTATGAGTTTAACTGTTATGTTTTCCCTAATATTTTTTTTGTTTTTGAATGCATTAAAATTTAAGGAAGTACCATATGAACAGGAGCCAATGGTAATGAAGGAGGAAGTAAAAGCTGTATTGAAGGCATTGGCGAAAAATAAGGCCCCAGGAATTGATGGGATGCAAATTGACTTGTTTCAATTAACAGATGCCGCCTTGGGTGTGCTCACCAGTCTATGCCAGGAGATTTGGAGGAAAGTTGTCTGGCCAACGGATTGTAAGAGGTCCGTTTTGTTCCCATTCCCAAGAAAGTTATCCAACTGAATGTGGAAACTATCAAACAATATAATTAATATCACACACAAGGAAAATACTGCGGAGGATCATTAAAAAATGGCTAGAACAGTACATAGATAGGGAAATGCCGGTAGCTGAAGCAGGATTTAAAAGAGGCCGTGACACCAGGGATATCATAGCTGATGTCAGATGGATTGTGGCTGAAAGTAAGGAATACTAGAGGAACGTCTATTTTTGTGCTTTATTGACTACACAAAGGCATTTAACTGTGTGGATCATAATTAGTTATGGTTGACACTGAGAAAAGTGAGAATCCTAGAGCACTTAATTATGCTCATGTGGAACCTATACCTGGACCAGGAGGCTACTGTGCAATCAAAGCAGGGAAGCACTGCATGGTTTAAAATTAAGAAGGGAGTGCATCAGGGTTGTATTCTCTCTCCTAAGCTATTCAGTCTGTATGCTGAGGAAATTACCTGAGAAGCTGGACTCTATGAAGAGGAGTGTGGCATCAGGATTGGAGGGAGACTCATCAATAACTTGTGTTATGCAGATAACACAACCTTGCTTGCTGAAAGTGAGGAGGACTTGATGAGGTACTTGTTGCAGAAGATTCAGGAATGCAGCATTTGGTATGGATTGTATCTCAATGTCAAGAAAACAAAGATTCTTACCACTGGACCAACAGGCAGAGTCACTGATGGATGCAGAGGAGACTGAAAGTGTCAACAGTTTCATCTTGCACACAATTA